AGATCCCAGTTGCTGATTCTTTGTGCTAGTTCCCATGCTACTGAGGTTTTGTTCATAAAGTCTTTTCCTATGCCAATGTCGTCAAGAGTTCTACCTAACTTATCTTCCAGCAAGTTTAGTGTTTGTTCTAATATTTAGATCTTTAATCCACTTTGATCTTAGTTTATGCATTACTCTGATTTAAGCAAACTAAACCCACTGATAGTATTTTATTTCCGTAACTCCAAAAATAAAAACTCACAGCTAACACTATATGTCCTTGCCAACCAACAAGCTCAATGATGATATTAGTCTAAATATTCACCACTTTGACTCCCTCAACCTTGTCCAAGAAAATTACCATTCCAACACTGTCATTGGGATAACTGCTTTGTCTAAGAAAGTCTACATTTCCACAGAGATTCAGAATCACGTAAATTAATTCCACATAACTGTAATGCTTTATATGCTTTTAGCAAGCATAGATTGTTATATTTTTCTGCAACTTAAGATTTCTATAGTAAACTGGCTAAATATCCAAGTTCCTAAACACGGAAGCTTGCTTTCAGGCAATTTCTCCTTCCATGGTTAAACATAAACACTTAAGAGTGCAAGTTAATGTAAAATTTGTCTTACTTTGTATTCTGGAATTGACAAAAGGTGGAGATTGTCATGTGACCCAAGGTCCCTGCTGGTCATGTGGTCATAGGGAGTCCCATCTCCATAGTTCCTGGATGAGCTTGGATGTTCTCCATTCCTCCAGGACCCTGAGCTACTTCTGTCTTCTACATCTCCGCCTCGGTGTCCGCGGGTCCAGCGCCATCCGACAGGCGGAGCTCCCGCCTCCAGCCAAGGCCGCAGGCTTAGGGGGCACGCTCTTGGGAGGCTCGGGTGGCATATAGATATAAATATCTATATCTATATCTAGATATCTATCTATATCTAGATATAGATATATATTGATAGTGGGGATTGAACCCAGGGCCTTCACACTGAGCTACATCCCCAGCACTTTTTTTCTTTTTGAGATTTTTATTTTGAGACAGGTCTAAGTCACTAAATTGCCCACGATGAGCTTAGAGTTTCAATCCTGTTTTAGCCTCCCAGAGTGCTGGGATTATAGGCATGGGCCACTATACCTGGTAGCAGTATTTTTTCCGCCCCCTAGTACTGAGGATTGAACTTAGTGCCTTCACACTGAGTTATATTCCCAGCCCTTTTTATTTTTTAAGACAGGGTCTCGCTAAATTATTAAGTTGCCTCAGCCTCCCAGAGTGCTGGGATTATAGCATATGCCATGCTGCCTGCCTAAGCAGTTTTATTTTTAACAGACAAGACACAGAAACAAATACCCATCAACAGTAAATAGACAAATAGGCAATGATGTTTTCAGATAATATTACTTCACTGCATGAAAATCAATGAGTAAGTTACACGGTTCAGCCTGGAGGAGTTCTAGGCGGTTGCACATGCCTGTAATTCCAGCACTTGGAAAGGTGAGGCAGGAAGATTGCTGTGAGTGCAAGGCCAGCTTACAATACACGGGGAGGGGAAGAAAGGAGGGAATGGGGAGGGGGAGAAAGGAGGAAGAGGAGAAGGAGAAACAAGGAAGGGAGGGAGGGAGGGAAAGGAAATGAAAGGAAAGGAAGAGAAAAGAAGGGAGGGAGGGAGGAGAGAGAGAGGGAGAGAGAGAGAGAGGGAGAGAGGGGGGAGAGAGAGAGAGAGACAGAGAGAGAGAGAGAGAGAGAGAGAGAGAGGGAGGGAGGCAGACCAGCTTAGGTAACTTAGCAAGACCCTGTCTTTAAATTTAAAAATGGGGCCACTGAGATGTAGTTCAATGTATAAGCCCTGGATTCATTTTTCAGTACTACCACAAAAAGATAAAAGTAAATTTCTTTCTTTCTTTTTTTTGGTACTGGGAATTGAACTCAGGACCTTGCGCTTGCAGGTGCGGTGTCATTGAGCTAAATCCCCGGCAAGACAAAAGTAATTTTGAAACTGTCTTTGAATAGAAGTTCACCCCAAATACACTCAAAGTTCACCTCCTTTGTCTACAAGTCCTCTCTTTGCCTCTGCCTCACTCACCCATTCTGAACCCTTGGTGGCACATGCACCGTACTCTTCAGTCCTCCATGACTTTACCTATATAGTTGTCCCTTGGTATCCATGGACAATTGGTTTAAGTCTCTCTCTACACTGCCATAGATAATAAGCTCTTCAGATGCTTAGGTCCCTTTTGTAGCATAGTATTTGCATGTAATCTATACATATTCTCACATATTCATTCATTCATTCATTCATTCATTCATTCATTCATTGTGGTTTGTATGGCTTTTGCACTTAGCTACATCCCCAGCCCTTTTAAAAATTTATTTTAAGACAGGGTCTTGCTAAGTTGCTAAGCTGCTAGGCTGGGCTTGAACTTTCAGTCCTGCTGCCTCAGCATCTCAGAGTGCTGGGATTACAGGTGGGCACCACCACACTCAGCTCTCACATATACTTTACATCATTTCTAAATTATTTATAAACCTAATACAATGCAAACACTAAGTTGCTGCTATATTGTATTATTTAAGGTACAATACAGGAGAAAAATGTCTGTACATGTTCAATATAGATGCATTTTCCTCTCAAATATTTTCAATCTATGGTTAATTGAATTGGTAGATTTGGAACCCAAGGATATAGACAGCTGACTGTAATGTTCCCTCTTGCCAAGACCCCCAGTCTTGTGTGTCCCCTCATTTCCATCCTACATATATTCAAATGCCTACAATATTCTTTTAAGTGCTAATTCAAATACTATTCCCAGAGGACACTGTCTCCCTTGCAAGGGTTCATACCTTTTCCTACTCTCCACCAACTCAAAAGGCAATAAAAAATTGCCTGCTACTGCTTCTTACTGCCCTTATTTATAATTTTTGTAAGAAATGGGGTCTAGCAATGTTGCCCAGGCAGGCCTTGAACTCACAGTCCTCCTGCCTCAGCCTCCTAGAGTATCTGGGACTACTGACACACACCACTATACCAGCTTTTGTCTTTCCTAAATCCAC